ATGTAAACAACTCTTCTTCGGAAATTATAATTTGACCCTTCCTCTGAACAATTTCGCCGCTGCAATCAATTTCGCCGCTGCTCAATACGCAATCAATATCTTCATTACACCAAGTTCCCTCTAATTTCATTTTTCTTATTTCAAAATTTGACAAATTTATCTTGTGGTATATTTTGTCCAAAAACGGCCGCCGTCTTTGCAGAGTAATTTAAATTTACTTCCTTTTCACCATAAAATATAGGTCAAGTTACGGAATTAGTTTACTGTTGCCAACAGTTAAACTTTGCTGCCAAAATCGCCGGCGAATTTTTATTATATACCATAAAGTAAATTCCCCGTTCATTATTAAATTTCAACTAGGTTGAAAGTTCATTTGCCCGAAACAAAGGACCCCCTAGGATCCGGGACACGATACAAAATTACTTGTGTGTATGTATTTAAGAATGTCTATATGTATGTATGTATGTATGTATATACGTATGTATTTATGTATGTATGTATGTATGTATGTATGTATGTATGTATGTATGTATGTATGTATGTATGCTTGCATGTATGTATGCATATATGTATGTATGTATGTATGTATGTATGTATGTATGTATGTATGTATGTATGTATGTATGTATGAATGTATGTATGTATGTATGCATTTATGTATGCATGTATGTGTTTTTGTATGTATGTATATATGTATGTATGAATGCATGTATGTATGTACGTATGTATGTATGTATGTATGTATGTATGTATGTATGTATGTATGTATGTATGTATGTATGTATGTATGTATGTATGTATGTATGCATTTATGTATGCATGTGTGTGTTTTTGTATGTATGTATATATGTATGTATGTATGTATGTATGTATGTATGTATGTATGTATGTATGTATGTATGTATGTATGTATGTATGTATGTATGTATGTATGTATGCATTTATGTATGCATGTATGTGTTTTTGTATGTATGTATATATGTATGTATGTATGTATGTATGTATGTATGTATGTATGTATGTATGTATGTATGTATGTATGTATGTATGTATGTATGTATGTATGTATGTATGTATGTATGTATGTATGCATTTATGTATGCATGTATGTGTTTTTGTATGAATGCATGTATGTATGTATGTATGTATGTATGTATGTATGTATGTATGTATGTATGTATGTACGTATGTATGATTGTATGTATGTATCTATGTATGTGTTTTTGTATGTATGTATATATGTATGTATATATGTGTATATGTATGTATAAATGTATTTATTAAGTATGTATTAAGAAATTTATTATGTGTGTAGGTATGTATGCATGTATGCATGTACGTATGTACGTATGTGAAAATGTAAGTAAGAAGGTATGAAAATATGTATGTATTTATGCATGTATCAAAATATGCATGTTTATATGTATGTATGAAAGCTTGTATGTATGTACAACTCTTCCTCAATTCTGGAAAATTTCGTTTTTAGAGTTTTTTCGGATGATATCCTAGCAAAAAATTGACGAAGACAAAAACCATATATATCGATGCTGGGTGAAAGGTTAATAGTTGTCTTTGATGGCTCCAAAAAGATCAGAGGACATTTTAGATCTTCGTATGAAAACTCATCGGCCTTAATGTTTTATTCCAATGTTTCGAGGTTAAAGTATAAAGACTTTTTAGATAATGGATTTTATCAAAATCAATTTTAATTAAATAGCTTTCATTTCACAAACGTAGACTCAGCCGTGTTCAGTGTTTTGTTCCCAAAACTTTGTTGATAATTTTTGTTATTTTTTGAAGCAGCCGATTTGTACAACCGGTATCTAAAAATCTGGAAAGCATCATTTTTGTTTTTGTTTGATATTGACTTTGTGATACTATTTCGAAATCGACTTGGTGAAATTTTGTTTGTGTTTGATTTTTTTTTGACCGACTTGAATTATGTTTCAATTTTGAGTTCGACTGCGCTGTAATTTTGCGTTCGATTTTAAGTTTCGACCTTGTAATCGACTTATTATTTTGAGCTCGACTTTATGTTTCGTCTTTGTGTACGACTTTATGTTTCGACCAGTTCGACTTTATATTTCGACTTAAAAGGTCTTCTCGAATATGGGTTTTTGTTCAAACTCTGACATGTGTTAGATACGCTTCGGACAAAGCATAAATTGCAAACCTTAATCTGAGGAGAGTTTTATTTGTATCTGCAATTTTTGAAACAAATTGCCGTTGAGTTCTGTTCTGCGGTTTACTGCCAAGTCCATAAAGATTTTCTAATGCGCTTTCAACGTCAAATTTTTCAAATTCTTCGTTTTTGTTTCAATGTATTTTCTTGATTTCAGTGTGTATTTTTTGAAAACACAAACTGATGGATCTCATACTTTTTCCAGGTTTCCGTTACAAAAGCCTTTGAACATATCTTATTTGTTTTCAGTCGGTGATTCGACACTGGATTTCTGTGTCGTGGTCTGATTTTTTTTCAAGTGATTTTTGGTTATGTATTAAACGCTGCTTCAAAATGGGATGTTCCTTGTTTGTTATCCAAAAACGCATTGTTGTTCCCACTACTTTATGAAATGGAAAAGTTGGAAAGAACTATTGCGTAGGGCCTTTTTTTTCAGAGGAATTTTAACTTTTATCTACGGTTTAGAGAGCGATATTTTGTTGGAAGGCTGTCTCAATGACCGTTTGGGAAAAATTGCGGTCATCGATGTATGGAATTTACAATTTATGTATCTTGTTGAGAAAAAGGTATTTCCAAATACTATTATATTGTCATTTTAGTTGTCTTAACGCTAAATAAGTCAAAAGAAACATATCCGGATGTAGTTCATCTGACTGATATAGCGGTTAAACAATTAAAAGCGACTAACTATTTTTATTTGAAGATACATTTTTTTCTACACGAGACATAATTTTCATATTCCATACATCCTAAGCAAAGTGACATACGAAAAGGCGCGAACAGCGCGAATGAAAAATGCCTATTCTAGACTGGTGCGATTGAACAAAAAAAAGAGTCTTTTAGTGAGTCGTACCATCTACCATCTCTTTTTTCCTAAGTCAGGCTTTTTTGAGTCGTTTGGTAAGTCGCACCATTTAAAAAAACTTTGAGTCGCGCCACTGAATTTTTTTTGCAAGTCGGGCCGCTTTACTTTTTTCATGAATTCCCTGCTAACGTTTTTTTGTCAGTCAAACCACTTAAATTTTAAGACAGATCTAAGCGGAGCGACTTAAGAAAAAACTGAGGGCGCGTCTTAAGAAATGATTGATGGCGCGACTTAGAAAAATACTGGTTTTGCGATTTAAGACGTCGATTCGAACCGGTAAAAAACATTGTTTTTTCTTCAAAATTTATGTTTTTTAAAGTTATTTTCCACGCTTTGTATCTTGTGACAAAGAAAACTTACTGGCCTGATTATTACTAAGCAACATTGTGAAACTATCTCTATATAATTGTTTTTTAAATTTGTTTGTGCAGTTTTAGTGCTCTTTATTTTTTAAATTTGTATGATGTATCAAAGAATCGACGACGGCGCGACCTAAGAAAATTGACGGCGCGACCTGTATCAAAAATTGACGGCGCGACCTAAGAAAAGACTGACAGCACGACTTAATAAAAAGCTGACGGCGCAACTGAAGAAAAGATTGACGGCGCGACTAAAGAAAGACCGATGGGCTACTTTAAAAAAAAGACTGTCGGCGCGACTTGAGACTGACGGCGCGACTTAAGCCCGCGGCGCGACTAAAAAAATTTGTCTGAAAACGGTTTGCGGCACGGCATACATAGTTTTTGTAACAGGCGCGGATCTCGACCCAGGCAGGTGTGACAGGATTTAAACGTGTGGACCAAAACTGACAAAAATTGATCGATATCGACTAATTTTGAACAAAAATGTGAACAATCAATAAAATTCGGCAAAATTTGACCAAAATTGTTAAAAACTGAATAAAAGTTGACCAAAATCAAGGTCGTGCAAGACCGACAGTCGAAGTAGTTTGAACTGAGTGTAGTCAACAAAAAAGTACTGTATGGTTCAGAATGACAAAACTACGTTGGTGTGTCAAGTTGAATGCAAGCAACAGCTCTTTTGTTTTGAAATTTGTCTATTATTTTTTTGTTCTGGCCATTTGAAAAATGTGGAGGAACTTTGTATGCGGGTCTGCTTTAGTTTTTTTCTTTTGTTTTTTTTTCGCACAAAATCAAGTACCACAAATAATCATCGGAATGGCTCGAGTGACATACCAAATTAGAGCACTTTGAATTGTGATTCGGGCGACCTGAGACAATTTCAGTTTTTTTTTCAGTTTTGTGAAAAAATGCTCCTCAAAATTGAGTAAAAACCAAAAAATGCTTATTTTAGGACCTGAAAACGTAGTTTTGAGCAAGCAAAATTCGTTTTTGGAGTTTTTTAGAGCCAATTTGGAAATTAAACCTTCAAAACAAAATCAAAAAACTTTCTGCAAAAATTTTGAAAATTTTTAAAAATATATATTTTCGGACTGTTTAATTATTCTAGTCATTTATCTACAAAATTTTCGTCAAATGTGCATACATTACTATAATTGTCGAATATGCCCAAATGTTACTCTTACATCAGATCTTTTTTATCAGACCACGCAATGAAAACTAACCTGAAAAAAAATTGTAGCTTTTTCCGCAGACTTGGGACGAAACATTCTGTGCTACTTGCACAATAACTGGCTATCCTTGTTAAAAATTATTTTGATTGTTTCTAAAAGCCCAAGCCTATAGAAAATGTCTGCATAATCAGTTGCTTTTTCTTGCAGAATCATTTAATTTGATCATACTGCCAAGTTCAAAATTAGCTGATTACCAAAAATAATGGCAACCCTCTTTTTTCTGTTGTTCTTGATTACAATTGATGTTCAGTAGGCTGCAGAACTTTTTAATCCAGTTTTATATGTTCAGTACGAGCTTTTGTAATTTTTTCAAACTGATACCTCATGGAAACAAATATTTTCATAATATTTACTTCACGATTTATAAATACGTCCGAAAATATAGGAAGAATTCAAGTTGAGTTTGGCTCGTCTGTTCACTGGACCATTTCTCCGTGCGTTGCTCCTGGCGACGAAGTTGCCGATGATGGTGGGCCGGATCTTGATCCTGTTGCTCCACCGATGACCTTAAGAAAAGAAAAAACATCATCGGAATCAGTTTATGCCAGAACAGTTATGTAAGCAAAAAATGTTAAAGAAATCAGGAAATAGAACTTGAAGGGAGATGGTTATGCAGGTATTTCTATAGGCTACCCTCGGATACCTTTGAACTGAATGCTTTATGAAAAAACGTACTAGGGAGCAGGGGCGGATCTAGGATTTTCTCGAGGGGGGGGGGTGTTGGATTTTCAAAAAAAATTCGAAAATTTTGTCGACCTTATTTATTTAAGTCCTTTAGGTAGACCAATTTGACTTTTCGAGCTCCTCCAAGCATAAAAAGTCCCAGTTTTGGCCAATATTTCTGCGCCGGAGGCAAAGTTTTGAAAAAACAGGCCAAAAAAGGCGGTTTTAGGCACTTTTTGGAAAATTTTAACCAAAAAATCGCGTTTTTTCCGCGCGCGCTCCCCAATCAAAATTAGTGTATATTGGCGGTGAAGGCGCTGTTAGTAAATTCTTAAGGTTCGTAACCAAAAATGGATATTTCAAAATAGTACAAAGGGGGACCCTTTGGGTCGGCAGGGGGTCGAATCCCGTTCCCCCCCCCCCGTCCCCCCACTCTAAATCCGCCCTCCTAGGGACGTTATCAACAAAGTTTTTTTAAAATTTTAGACTAAACTGATAATAAAATAAAAAAAAACTAATAACTATCATAATTAAGTCGACATTTTTCAGTCGATCGAAAGTTTGAAAAAAAGATGTTCAAGTACTTCCAGTCCGAACTGTTCCCTGTACTCCTGTGCTACCAAGTCCACTATCTTCTGGTGCTTCCTCTCTTCCTCCTCACTCCTCGTGACCCCAATGACCCCTCCAAGGTCACTCAAATTGTTCTCACGCGTCAATTTGTCCTAAAATTGGTTACATTCAGATATGCGTCCTTTTTCATCATCTTTGTTTAAGTCTAGTCGATTAAGTGTTTTTTGCCATTATAAGTTCAACCAATTTTATACAAACCATTCTGTTGGCAAAAGTAGTTCTCTGTAACTTTTCATCAATGCTCCGAATTAAGCTTCAAACAAGAACAGTAAAACCAACCGCAAAAAAGATTGAAAATGTTTCTGGAATTATTTTTTTTGTTTTTTTTTTGCCTCCTCGTCCTGTATTTAAGAATATTTCAATGAATTTGCTTCCACAAATTGAGAGAGCTGAATGAAAACCAATGGCCAAAAACATCATAAAGGTATTTTTATTGCACACCACGCACTTACTATTTTGCGGCCCATGTTGGCTATCTGACACTGAACGTCAAACTTCCACGTCTGAAAGGTACAATTTTAATTATGAATCTATCAAAAAGTAGCTTTAGAAGAGTCTAATCAGGGTTGTATACCTGAATCTAATGGAGGGTTCTAACAAACAGTTTTTTGTGGACAAGGAAAAAGAAACTCTTGTGTTTTAAAAGTTGAAATTCAAAACTTGTTGCCCTTAAATTTGTATTCTGCTTGTTACTTAAGAGTTGTATTCTGTAGTATGTGTTAGTTACTTCGAATGAGCTGTGAAGTCGTTTTTCGATGTTCACATCCCCCACACATCGCCACTGAAGGGGCAACTCATCCCCCAGTTTCACAGGGGGCAGCGATGCACTCCCCACTCCTCCCCTGCCCCCTCCCCCATGCTTGGATCCAGCCCCGTCTGTAGCACTGCTCTCGCGTCTATTCGACATTTGGTCGGTTTATGCTTTGTGTATTGTGAACCTTTTCAAGATTTGCTGGTCTAAAAAATAGAACCGCCTCAAATTCAATTACTGTCACGGATCTGTCTGAAGTTTCACACCAAATTTTACACCAAATTTGATCATAAATCAACTTACATTTCTATCAATTTTTGATTTGCTGAACCAGCACTTGATTTCTGGCTGTTCTTTTTCTTCTAAAATTTGCAAAATTTTCAACAGTTTCTAGATTTCTTTCAACTGACGATTTTCATGTTTCTTGACAAGTATTTTGTCAATAACAAAACAAAACGTTTATCTTCCTTTTGCATCAGATATGAGAGCCCGGGGCAGATTTTAAAAAAGCTTTCAAAAATTTTTATGACTTTTTGTTTAGGTTTGACCAAATTGAGTTAATTGAAAAACAAAACGGGCCAAAAAAACGTTTGAAAGGGCTTGAATACAAAAACACAGACAATCCGCAAACTGAGTATATATTAGTATATACAGGGCCGGTCGGCCAAAAATTGATGTCATAAAATAATAACAAAGGGCGACTAGCATTTTTTGTCAACCCGTCATATCTGATAGTTCATCAATCGACCTCATTTCGGTCAATATTAGTAAAAAAAACGATTTGTATGAAAAAAAACGTTTCATATTAAAGTCTTTTTCCCATTCATTCAGGTCAAGTCGGTGATCGGACAATAATAAGGAGCGAGGGGGTTGTTTAGTAATCGGTTGATAATTATAGTCTTAAGTACAATTAAATTGCGTCTTTTACCTTCAGTTTAATGATGAAGAGATCAAATTGGACACGCGTTGTCTAGCTAACAGAGAAGGAGGTTGGATAAACCAGCTTTATGTTGGCTAATATACACAGCAGCGCTCCGTCTCGTTTAATAGATGTCCAGACAATCAATTACAACAGGTTAGCAGAAATAGTAACTGGATCCAAAGCAGGTCGAATGAATAAAATATCTTTTTGTGCAGGTGCTACTTGATACTCTAATTGAGTGAAAAATAAACAAAATGAAAAAACAGCTCAATCAAAGCACTTGCTGCGAGCACAGCAAAATTGTTCGGATCATATGTTTTCTTCACTTAAGACATTGCTGATAATATTGAAAAACGACTATTAGAAAAACATCAAATGTTTTTAATGGCTATCCTTTTGTTGAGAATTCTTAGATTATCGGTACCACGCCGAGCACTGATGGATAACAATCAATTATAAGTGTCATGTGGTAATCTGTTTCTATAAAACTGAGAAACAATTTGATTAAGATCGATTAAAATGTTTCCTGATGTTATATTTCAATCAAAGCAAAAAAAAAGTTTGAAGCGATAATTTAATTTGGACCAAAAAGTTAATATCCTCTACCCCCAAGCAGGTATTTTTTTGGGGGGGGGGGGGGGGGGTTAACTTGGTTTTGAGTTCGAATTTTTAGCCAATCAGAACAGAGCTTTCTACACGCAGCAGTTAGCAAAATTAAATTGAACGCAGGGGTGGAGGATCTTAACTTGGTCTAATTGGGGGGAGGGGGATGGGTGGGACGTGGCAGTATGTTCTCTTTATCCTTTAAAAACTGATTGAAACTGGAAGTTTAAAACGCGTTTTTTCCTAAAACTGGGTTGACGTTTCGCATTAAGCCAAACCTCGCATCGAGTTTTCTAAAAGTTATGATCGATTTTGTTTAGCAGTTTCGAATCCAAAAGAACTGGGGCTTTTGGAACCGAAACGCTGCAACATTTTGAAACTTCTTTGAAACCAAACAGTTGGCACTGTTTGCTGGAAGAAATTTTCGTAAGGGCATCGAAAAGTAAAATGACTGTGGTTACCAAATTAGACCCGAAACAGTTTCCTGAAACTTTGGGCTAAAGCAGAGGCCCGCCTGTTGACTTAGCTCTTAGTTCTAAAATATGCTAAGTGGGCAATTTTTCATAAATTGATTCGGTTAATGCCCCTAAAAAATTTCAGAGCACTGTCATATGGTGCTAATTCAGAACGTGAGAGTGTAAGTAATAGCTATCAATCAACTGTCAATCGTGGTGCTAATTAGTCTGTTGTCAGGTGCTGACCTTCGATTTTGTCGGTCACCCTTGGTTGACCTCTATTGCCACTCTTGGATTTAAACTTGTAAGATTAAGTTACACTTATCGTCGGAATTTACTTATTGCCTGATTCACTTTTTCAACATAGCGCAGCCATCAGTTTCAAGTGAAGGAAAATACCCACTTGGTATCTCCGGATTCTGGCCACCGAAATACATTGAACCGCCAATGCTATGGGAGTTTTGGATAAATAGATTTCAATGGGGAATGGTGGCAAAGTACTCGATTAACGCGAAAAATTACTATTTCGCGTCCAATCTCACCGAAACCCAAATCACCGCTTTGCCAAGGGAAGTGGACGGAAAGAACCGGTTGGAATCCCAACAAACATTAATCTCAAACTTGTACTTGTATCTGGGCGAGAAGGGGCAGTACGAGCTGCATTAAAGACGACCACACTTGGACTTCTCAACTATTCGTTACCCAAGGATGTAAGATGCACTGGAGACGCAATTTAAAAAGGAAAAGAATGAGACGTATGAGACATTCCAACTTCTCGCTCGGAAACAGCAGATCAATGAGAGTCTCGGGCAGTTTCACTCTGTTTTAAGTGGGCTTGCGGCCCGATGTAACTCTGGAGCATTAGAAAATCGAACCCTCAGGGACGTGTTCATTGTTAACCTTAACAACCGTGAAGCGCAGAATGAACTATGTCGATCCACCAAAACACCGGAGGAGGTGTATAGGATTGCTCCTTCGTACGAGCGGGGCGACAAGTACGCTGAATCATATGTAGCAACATCGGCCGGGGGAATTACTGGAAGCCAGGAATCAGCAGGGGGAGCGATCCAAATAAAATCCGATCCGGTCGGAATAAACGCGGAGGATTCAGAACCACAGACGCCGATAAATTCGGGGGGAAAATGATGCAAAGCAATCGATGTTAAAACTGCGATCAAACAAATTTTACACAGGAACATTTGGAAAAGTGTCCAGCCAAGGGAGTAACTTGTAATTTTTATCGCAAAATAGGACATTTTGAACTTACCTGCAGGTGAAGCCTGGAAATCAGCGAGGACTAGGGGCAGTGGGAATGAATCGGGAGAATGATGACAACACCAATCCAGGGGATCTGGAAGACGACGTAACATCCCAACACGCAAGTTCCATCGGATGGCTAAACCCCAGTAAGCCAGTAGTACACTCGTGGGATTCAAGCAGCTCGGATGGGGACTATATCGCATTGGCGGTGAGACTTAAGAAATTCACTGAGCTTAAGATTGCTGGGGCACAACTACCGATTCGGATAAACGGAAGAGCTAGTCGGGTGTGGATCGATAGTGGGTCCCCAGTCTCTATCTTCACCATCGGGGAACTGCGACGAACCCTTGGAGCATCGGCGTTGAAGGTGGGCGCACTTTCGAATGAGGACACTGCATTTCGGGACTACAGGAATAATCCTATAAAGCTGATTGGAACCATGACTGTTATTTTGGAGTTAAACGGGTGGAGAGTAGATGCGAAGATAAAAGTCATCGGAGGAAACCGACCATCCATCATGGGAAGGGAGGTGATGCCGCAATCGGGACTGCAGTTGGTTCAACAAACGCCTGGGGACCGGATAATGTCTATTGACGTGGAGCCAAAAAAGGAATCGGGGCAAGACGGGGAGCTGGATTCGTGGCAAAAATAGCTCAGTACGCAGTTTTCAAATTTTATTTAAAAGGGTGGGGAAAATAAGAAATTATAAAGTGCAGGCGGAATTTTTCGAGAAACTAACACCAGTATAACAGAAGGGTCGACAAGTCCCAATAACGTTACAAGAAAAAGTAAAAAGTGGATAATAAACTCGATAAACTTTTAAAACAAAATCACATCGAAAAGCTAGAAGGATGTTCGGATAAAAATTTTGTGTCGCCAATCATAAAAACAGTGAAAAAGGAAGGGTCAGTAAAACTAGCGCTCGAGTCGGGGGAACTAAATAAACAAGCGCATAAAAAGAAATATCAAAAGCCAAATATCGAGGTATTAAAGGACACCGTGAGGAAAACAATCAGCGAGAAGAAACCGGGGATATATTTCTTTCAACGATGGAACTAACGTACACATATGATCAATTACCTTCGAGCATGGAAACAAGCGTACAATGCACCTTTTCTCTTATCGGAGGTCGATCAACGGGTACGTATTGGTTCAAAACAGGAATTTATGGCCCAACCACAATGCCGGCCGAACTTCAGCGCGCAATGGATTGCATCCTGTCCGAATTTTCGCAAGCGCAGGCGTTCATAGATGACGTTCTGCTAGTAACCAAGGGAACCGAAATTGACCACATAGCGATTGTTGAGAAAACTTTGAAAAAAACTGGATAATGAGAACATGTCTCTAAAATTCACGAAGTTTAGGTTTGCACAACGTGAATCTGAATGGTTAGGCCACAAAATAACCCACACTGGAAGAACACCATTGGTGCGAAATACAGAACAAATAGATTCGCTGAAACGGCCGCGTATCCTATCACATTTGAAATTGTTTATGGGGTCAATACACAGTCTCCACAAATACTTGCCAGCGCTAGCCTTAACCTTCCGCACCATTACAGCCTTTTTTAACAGAAAATAACGATTACATATGGACGGCGGAATGTCAGTGCGTATTTGAAAATAAAAAAAAAACAAGTTTCAAACATTGTTGAACTCCGTTATTTCGATATTCATAAAGATATACGAATTGTGTGAGACGCGAGTCATAACGTTTTAGGCGCTGTTCTCGAATAATAAGGAGCAAAAGGGTGGAGAGCGATTCCATTTGCCTCAAGGTACCTAAATGATGCGGGAAAAAAGTTTTCGACGAATGAATTAGAAATGTTGGCAGTAGTGTGGGGGGGGGGGGGGCTGAATATTTCCGAAATTACACATTGGGCAGGAATTTTTTCGTAGTAACAGACCACAAAGCGGTATTTTCTCTTTAAAATGGCAATAACACGAAAAACAAGACGATGTTTTGCCATTTAACGCGGTGGTTGGACCGACTCATTCCTTTTGATTTTCAAGTTGAAGAAAAGCCAGGGGCGAAAATTGGGTTGGCGGATTATCTATCAGGTCAACCAACAAATGAAGCAACACTAATTAATACGTTCGATAACATGTTCACACTGGCAAAGATTAATTCAATATGTAACGCTCTCGGTTTTGTTCAAGATAGCGCATCCAGCGAACATCAGTTACGTAATAATGCATCGAAGGGACCGCATATTTATATAAATAACCAGCGATCTATAAATAGATTTGAAAATTCGTCACGCAATAAGCCAGTAGAAGGCGTCAAGTCATGCGAACGGAAACTGACCAATCAGAAACGAGAAAATGGCTTGAACCAACGGTTGCGAAATACGAACGAGAATTTAGTCAGTGCTATTACTCAATTGGAAAGAAGTTGCTCAAAGTTCTCGAATTTAGAAATTCACATCAAAATGGACCGGAGTATGATGAAATTAGAAAAGTTTTTGAAAAAAGACCCTAGTTTGGATAGTAAAAGTGACGAGAATTACCATCGAGTGTAAATTTAGAAGCGATTACCAAGGAGACGATTAGAAGCGATTACCAATATCATATAGAACAAATACAACCTTATCTTTACCTTCAGCATTTAAAGGCGAAACAATTCCACCGGTGGACCCAAACACTCTGTTCATGTCAATTGTAACCCGCGTATATAAAATTGTGAGCAAAATCACCTTCCTGAGTTATTTAATTTACAATTTGTTGCGTCCAATTACATTTCCGAACCTCAATTTAGAGCAATCAGAGACTTACTCAAAACAAAAGACCAAAATCCACAAAAAATTTTCGGTTATGAGCCGCGCAATTGTTCCTAACTTGTAAATGATTTTTTTGGTGAAGGAAAAGTTTGTTTGGATGGATGAGAAACTCGTTATACCTATGAATCTTCAAACCGCACTTAATAATCGAATTCACACACTCCACCACAAAAAAATTAACATGTTTGATGTTGCCACAGAC